ATCTTTTCATATTACCGGATGCTTTAATTTATTGACTTCATTATTTGGAATTTCTATATGTGTAATGGTGGTGATACTCTCATGACCAGTTTGCTGGAGAGGGATGATGTGTCCCAACTTCTCCGTCTCAATCCCTGGGCCAGCCTTACATGACCAAGAATTTGTTGTCTAGTAAGTGAGAAGACCTGGATACTCACTGTAGGATCTCACTCCATAGAACTATTGCATTGCTGTGTGCTTTATTGCAGACAGAGCTAAAACCAACCTTAAAGATGAACCAGCTGATTGTTTATTATTTTATAGATGAAGAGACCAATTACTTGCCCTGGGCATATCTTTATGCTCTCTTAACAGTCTTTTGTCTAAAGCTTGGCTATACTGACCTGGATTGTGACCTGTCAGTAACCTTCCTAGTCCCGATATTACCTAACCAGTACAAAAATGTGACTGCTAAAGGTTCTTTCCCTCTGTTGTTCTGACAACTTCTCTTTTGTTACATGCCATTGATATTCAGGTTCACATTTGTAATACAAGTTCATCATAGATTTCAGACCATTTTTCCAACTGATTCCTTTGTAGTTTGACTCATATTGTGGTCTGTTTGACCATTTTGAAGATAGATTTCATGGCAACAAATTGAATTTATTTTAATAATGATCAGAGATGCTGAATTTGTCATGCTGGGGTCTTTTTAACTCAGTACTCCAAATTGTAGACATAGGAATTCATGATCTAATAATAAACTTCAACAGTACCTCTTTAAATAATAATCCCTGCATACCCACAATAAAGTTATATTCCAATAAGTCTATTAAAATTTGCAGACTAAGCAAAAATTCTTTAAAAAATTTTATTCAGGTTTATTCGATCACAGTACTAATTTATATTCCTACAACATTTTTTTTCTTTCTCTTCCTCCTCTACTTCTTGGTGTGTTATGTGTTTTAATGTAATGGCAAACACTCTTATTAGGTTAAGATTGCTTTTTAAATATATTCAGAAAAAATTTAATAGCAAGTTACAAATGAATGTACATTTTTCTTGTAATACATCTTTACATATTTCCAAGAGCGAAATGAAGCAGCAAACGTGAATTCATTCATTCATTCAGCATAAGCCAAGTGTCTTTGTTTAAGTGCTCAGAGGGTTAGTCAAGGAGTAGTACTTCCTAGAAGAATGGTGTTTGGAAGGATTTGCTTAAGAAAAGGTACAAATCTCCATTGGTGAAGAGGAAGGGGTCAGGAAAAAAAGGGAAGTCAAACATAGGAATTGTGTATCAGGGAACTATATTAGAAGAAGGGGGACGGGGTGCTAAGAAAAGGGAAGATGCCCATTGCGGAATGGTTAAGCGGGCACTTGGTCGGAGTGGAGAAGGGACGTTAGGGAGGAGTGATTGGTGAAGTTACTGAGATGCAGGTTCAGCCTTGCTATCCATATTTTGCCTGGATACTGTGGTATATATCCTAAGGGAAAAGCTAAAGAGAGGAGAGACACAGTGCTTGGCCTGTAGGAACTTAGAATCTTGCTGATGAGACAGGGCAACAGGAAGGTAAAGGAGGAGACTTGAAAACCAGGAACTGGATGTTCTACAGTGTGATGCAGGGAGTCTTTGGAGCTTCTCATGTGTAGTCTTGCCTCTGTTACCCACTGAGGAGGGAGAGGTCAGAACTGGGAAAGATCAAATGGAACAGGTGGCGAGGTTTCAGAAATCAATTTTGTAGCTATATGTAATCAGCAGAAGAGCTTTTTCCTACACAAAACTATTTTAAATCCCTTTAGAAAAAGAAAAATGAGCTGCCTAAAATCTTCTGTCCACAATGAACAATTAATGGAAAATCACTGGGTTGTTCTTACAAACAGCACTTAATGTCAATAACTTCAGGTTGTTTTCCAATTTTACAGTTAAATTTTTAACTGAAACCAATTTAAGAAGCTGTTTAGTCCATGAGCTTTTACAGTGGTGGGATGATGTGGGTAGACTAGAAGAATGACATTCCTTTTCCGCCCAGAATATTGGCAAGGTATTAGTGGCTTCATTTTAATACAGTCACTTTCAAAATAAAGGAGAGAGATCGGGTTGCTTAGGGAAACATTTTGGATTAGGTTAAAACAGTTCAACTTTGTAATATGGTAAATGTTTTAAGTTAACATGGTAAATAATTCAGGTTTTTCTTTTGGCATATCAGGTTATCTCCATTTTGGATCAGGCCTAAGAGAGAAAGTTTTCAGATTTTGTTTTGAAATCATCACATAAGTACTTTGGTAATTGTCTGGTTTCATGCTGTGGGAATGTAGACTTTAGTTTTTCCCTTTCTTCTTCTTCTTCTTTTCGTCTGCCTCTTTGCTACTCGCGTACCGTTCTGGGATTTCCGCTGTTTCCACTGGCCTTCCGCTGGGAGACCTTCCTGGGGCCTCGGTTTCCTGCGATGTCACTGGAGGCATGTTTAAATGCCTTACCACATTCCTGGGTTTGGGGGGGGGTTGACCCACTTGCATTGGTGGTACTTCTCTGAAAGGCACTAACACGAAGACAACCGGAACCCTGAGGTCTGGAATTGGGGTGGGTTGCATTTGACCATTTGTCACTTGAAAAGACGGTCCAGGAAAGACACTGTTGAAGGGGTAACTCTCTGAAGCTGCCTGATTCTCTTTCGTCTGGGAAAGAACATCGGTGAAGTAAGGTTTCACTCCCGTTATGGCATTGATTTCATAGGCGTTTTGCCTGTCGGTCAGTGCCCTCCCGGTTAAAATGGGCTGGAAAACTGCTGATCCTGAGATACCGCTGACGAAGTTGTTGAGGAGAGAATGCCAGATGCCACCACTTATTGGACTCAAAGTGACCTGCGGCCATAAGCTGGCCAGACTCCGGAGAGCTTCGCGGTTCCAGGCGGAGGCAGGAAACTCAGTCTCAGTGTGATAGAGCTGAGAAAAGTAGACACTAAGAGTGACGTCTGGATACACTTTCAGGAAATTGTACATTTTGCTGATGCAGCAGTGGTTAGCTTCATTACAAGGGGAGTTGCTGGAATACAGAATGATGTGCCTGATGCCATCGTTATTGTATATGGCTGAGTCAAGGTAGCCATTCATTTCAAAGAGCATCGATTCTGGGTGGGTATCATTCCCTGTGCACCTACTGGCATGGCCCTTTTGAACAAGGCTACCAGAAGAAGTTTTTAATTCATAAAATGTGAGATGTTTTGTTTGAGAATATATCGGCCCATAAGGGAATCCAAAAATCTGATAAAATTCTGTGTAGGGAATTCTGGCCTCTTCTCCTGTTCGAATATGGTATGGACAATTAGTGCAGTCTAGCGAGAAGCTTAGCCAGTAATAAGGTTTTACGATTGTTCCACGATTTGCTAAGTATTCCTCATATAAGGGCTCCATTTCTGGCTTTATTGTCTTCTAGCTTCAAACCTAAACAAGGAAGAGAAATTATGTGTAAAAATAGGAAAAACTGAAGACAAAGCATTGATTTATGAAATCCTACTTTTCCTTAAAGGAGATAGCAAAAATTTATGAAATCCTACTTTTCCTTAAAGGAGATAGCAAAACAAAGTGATATATATGCAGAGATTAGAAAGTTTAGTATTCTTTTTTTTAACTGATACTCCTGGAGTATGGGGAGGAGACAAAAGAGAAAGTCATAATATCACTTGACCTGTTTCATAGATTCTGAGTCAGTAGAGCAAATGGATTAACCATGCAAGTTCTAGAAACAGACTGCCCTTTTTCAAATTTGGACTCTGCCAATTACCGGCTTAGTGGCCTGAGGCAGGTTATTGAGAGTCTGGTAGCCGCAGCCTTCATCTACGTAAGATGAAGGACCATCTTGGAGACTGAATGATAGAGTAAGTGTAAAATGCTTTACTATATGCCGTGGTAAGGACTCAATAAATATCAGCTCTTAGTAGAAATAGTACAGGAAGGGTTGCCTGGATGATCCTGTTGCTGAAAGTTCACAAAAATAAGTGATAGGGCTTGCATCTGGCTCATGTCTTTCTTTCCATGTTTTTGGAATATGATAATGTGTACTATGTTGTGCAGGGGTTTTGAGCGGCATGCGTTTAGAATCAGCTACTTCTTAAAATCTTTGGCAATACCTTGGCAATGTTATCCTTTTGGGAATAGGACCATAGGGTCTATTTTGCTTGATGATAGAGACTTCTTTTTTTTTTTTTTGGCTGGGGCTGGGTTTGAACCTGCCACCTCCAGTATATGGGGATGGTGCCCTACTCCTTTGAGCCACAGGCACCGCCTGATAGAGACTTCTTGTAGAAGTACCACTTGAGTCTTCTTTGGGTCATGGACACTCATTCATTGACATTTGAGAGTTTTATTTCCAGTGGGTGGGTTTTGTTAGAGGGTTTTTGAAAAATTATGATTATAGAAAGCAACCACAATTCTTTAGAATATTTCAAATCGATAGTGTCTGGGATGTTAGACCCCCCAGAGTTGAGATCTTCAAGTAATGATTTTTCCTTTTAAAAATACCCCTTCAGGGGTGGCACCTGTGGCTCAGTGAGTAGGGTGCCGGCCCCATATACTGAGGGTGGTGGGTACAAACCCAGCCCTGGCCAAACTGCAACAAAAAAATAGCCGGGCGTTGTGGTAGGCACCTATAGTCCCAGTTACTTAGGAGGCTGAGGCAAGAGAATTGCCTAAGCCCAGGAGTTAGAAGTTGCTGTGAGCTGTGACATCATAGCACACTATGGAGGGCTATAAGTAAAACTCTGTCTCTACAAAAAACAAACAAACAAACAAAAAACTCCTTCAGGCCAGGTATGGTGGCTCACACCTGTAATCCTAGCACGCTAGGGGGCTGAGGCAGGTGGATTGCCTGAGCTCAGGAGTTCTAGACCAGCCTGAGCTAGAGCAAGACCCTCGTCTCTACTGAAAATAGAAAAACTAGCTGGGGATCTTGGTGCATGCCTGTAGTCCCAGCTACTCGGGAGACTGAGGCAGGAGGATTATTTGAGCCCAGAAGTTGAGGTTGCTGTGAGCTATGATGCCATGGCACTCATGCCAGGGTCAACAGAGTGAAACTCTGTCTAAAAATACATATGTATATATATTCCTTCAGTTATCATTGTTCCACCTAAGGCATTATAATATAGTTTTTTTTAGGTATTTTAAAATAACTTTTTATTATACAAGTATTAAATGTGTCTTGTAGGATATTTTTTTTTTTTTTTTGAGACAGAGCCTCAAGCTCTCCCCCTGGGTAGAGTGCTGTGGCACCACAGCTCACAGCAACCTCCAGCTTCTGGGCTCAAGTGAGTCTCCTACCTCAGCCTCCCAAGTAGCTGGGACCACAGGCACCCGCCACAACGCCTGGCTATTTTTTTTGGTTGCAGCCATCATTGTTGTTTGGCGGCCTGGGCTGGATTCGAACACGCCACCTTAGGTGTATGTGGCTGGCACCTTAGCTACTTGAGCCACAGGCGCCAAGCCAGGATATTTTTTAAATAGATACATAAAGAAGAAAATAAAAACTCCTTAGTTTGTGTCATATTATATGCCCATTGCTGTTGCTGGCTCAAGTCTCTCTGGCCTGTTCGCTATGTGTACGTGTTACGCACAGTGTAACTAAAATCACATACCCGGCTTTCACTGAGTATTCGTGTTCGCATGCACATCTCCCTATGTTATTAGAAATTCTTCAAAAAACACCATTCATGGCTAATTAGCATTTTATTATATAGCTATAACTTTCCTGTTCTTGCCTCTTTTAATTATATAACACTTTAATTAAATAATACTTCTATGAATACTTCTATAAATGACTTCTATCTCCCCTCCTCTCCCCCCTTCCCTTCCCTTTTTTTTCCCCTCCCCTCCCCCCTTCCCCTCCCTTTCGTTTGTTCTTTTTCTTTCTTGAGACCATCTTACTCTGTTGCCCAAGCTAGAGGGCAGTGGCATCATCATAGCTTAGGGCAACCTCAAACTCCCCGTGTCAAGTGATCCTCCTGCCTCCAGAAGCTGGGACTGCCTGTGATTCTTTTCTTCAGTGTAAATGACTAGAAATCGTGGTCTGAGGTCAGACTTTGTCCCATTGCATCCTGGGAAGGTGAACTATTTTTACTATATTCTCTCCCGGTAGTTTTTGTCCCAACTTGAGAAGTGATCACCGGTGTCTACTTGTTGCTATCATGTGTGCCTTTTCTCCGAGTGAGGTTGAACCCTTTTTCACGTGCTTATTGGTCTATAGTATTTATTCTTCTGTGAAGCATATTCGATCCCTTACCTGTTTTTTGTTTGAGTTTTCCTTATTGATTTGAAACACCGTTTTATGTATCAAGAATATTAACTCCATCATATTCATTACAAACATACTTCCTGCTCTATGTGCTCTATGGTCCAGTCTTCGCTCTTAACATTTATTTTTTCCTACTGTATTGCATTGTATTTATTTATTTATAGAGACGGAGTCTCACTCTATAGCCTGTGGTAGAGTGCCGTGGCATCACACAGCTCACAGCGACCTCCAACTCCTGGGCTTAGGCGATTCTCTTGCCTCAGCCTCCCAAGTAGCTGGAACTACAGGCGCCCGCCACAATGCCTGGCTATTTTGTTGTTGTTGTTTTTGCAGTTTGGCCGGGCCCGGGTTTGAACCTGCCATCCTCAGTATATGGGGCCGGCACCCTACCCACTGAGCCACAGGTGCCGCCGGATTTCCTATTGTAATTTAGAAAAGCCTTCCTAATTGAAGCACAATTAAGTATTCCCCCTATCTTCTTCTAGTATTCATGATTTCATTTTTAACTGTTAACTTCGTCTGGACAACAAAACAGATAATGTAATTGAGCTAAACTGACCACTGCAACAGCATATATTTTTCACTTTTTAAAGTCTAATTTATCATATCACAAGTATTTATCAGGGCCACAACATCCGGAAACACTTTAATCATCATCTGCCTTCTTCATCCCCGATCAGCTCAGTCATTGCTCTATTTGGCACAGCTGATCTCTAGCCTGAAACCTGCAGAGTTCCTCCTAATCCTTTCCTGGGTGAGCAGGGAGTATTTTAATAGCCTTAGTCCAGCTGTAGGTGGGGTGTAGCTTTACTTGTTTGTCATTATTTTAATGGCTAATATCCCTGCAGTATCTCTGGCACCACACACACACCGGGTTCTAGATTTCTCCTAACCCTGCCATGCCAACTTAATCCATAGGCTTGGGGGTTAGCTTCAGTTTCCTCCTTACCTCTGTATTTTTCTCATGCAACTGCATTCCTGCCCTGAGCCTTCCTACTTTTTATGGTAGCTTTTCTTTTGGGAGGCTGGATTTAACCCCTGGCAATGGACAGGTCTTTTTAAAACCTGGCACCTTTTCCTGCTTGGTCCTGAGCACTGTTTTCTCCCTGGATCTTCTCTTAGCCTTACTCGTCACACTGGATCAATCTGACTATCGAACTTGCTGAACCCAAGCCCAGATTCTCACGTTTTGAATATTATGCCCAAGGGTGGTTAACCACTGGGTGGCCTGCCTGACATCCAGGGTGCTGCTCCAATTACAATTCCAATTCAACCATAGAAAATTTACAAATTGATTTGGCTAAAATATTATGGAAACAGAACCAAGAGGCATTTTTCTGCCTTTATTATTTTTGTAAGGTGGTGTGTCTGTGTGTGTGTGTGTACAATTAATTATACATAATGGCCCCATGACTACCCTTTTTTTTTTTTTTTTTGCAGTTTTTGGCCAGGGCTGGCTTTGAACCCACCACCTCTGGCATATGGGACCAGTGCCCTACTCCTTGAGCCACAGGTGCTGCCCCCATGACTACCCTTTTGGGAAGCAAAGCTCCTTTGTGTTTTTTAAGATACAGGCAGCAAAATAGCAGGGAATATTTTAATGGCCTTAGTCCAGCTGTAGGTGGACTCAGGATTACATTTCTAAGCACATCTTCCTTTGGAGTCTGCTCTCCTATGGCTATTTTAGCCAGAACTGAGACATCACTGTGGTCTTTAGGGAGATCTCGGGCCCCAGTGCATGTGTTGGAGGGAGGTCCTCAGTGTCTTTCTTGCTGATGGCTTCTCAGTGTCAACCAACTGCAGTGCTCTATTTATTGGAGAAGTTTTCTTTTTTTCTTTCTTTTTTTTTTTTTTAGAGACAGAATCTCACTTTATCACCCATGGTAGAGTGCTGTGGCATCACAGCTCACAGCAACCTCCAGCTCTTAGGCTTAGGCAATTCTCTTGTCTCAGCCTCCCAAGTAGCTGGGACCTCAGGCGCCTGCCACAACGCCTGGCTATTTTTATTTTTTGTCACAGTTTGGCCGGGGCCGGGTTCAAACCTGTCACCTTCGGTATATGGGGCTGGTGCCCTACCCACTGAGCCACACTCTAATTTTACTGTTCTTGCCTCTTTTAATTATATAAA